TTATTAATGGTCCTAGCAGGCTATAATTATATTCGTTCGATTCCTTAGGCAACAAGGAACAATTTGTATATCTCAGGATTTCGGAAAAGTCCTTAGTTTTCGAGAAAATCGAAATTTTAGTTTTTCGTAGTTCCGCCGCTCGCCGCTAGATGGACGCCAATTTTTTAGTTCATAAATTTTCATTTTGCCGGTCAATTCAACCTCCACATGCAATTACTTCATAATACAGATACGATATATTTTTTCGAATAAAAATATGTAAATATATTTAGCGGCAAAGAGATTTGAGTAAATATAGCAAGATGTACTGTAAGTTAATTAGTCTTACGACGAATTAACTTGTCGTGGAAAGGAAAGGATGGGAGATTCGATTCATTAAATAATAAATATTTAGCTGATATATAAAGAATCAAACTTTTATTTTCATAAAAATGTAAATGAACAAAGATTCATATCTGTCGATTTACGCGACTGTTCAAATTATGCGCTAGAAAGGCTTTGAACTAAGGGACATCTGTCTGTGGGTTTGAAAGACACCTAATCCAGGTAATTGACTTTGTTGCTTGAATTTTTATATTGCAAATCTGGTTAAACAAGTTTCGTTACAGGTACCTGTTCAGGAACAGGCAATGAAATGGCAAAGCAAGTGTATTGTGTACATTAATTAAGCGCCGTATGTTCAAAGATGAACATCTTAAAAGCATCATTGTATTAATACATATCAAGCAACAATATCGTACAGTAGCGAAGTATTTTTAAATAAATTATAAAATGAAGGGTATTTTAATCTTCGATCATTTAAACGATGTTCTTTTCACGAAGTGCAATAAAAAATTTGCAAATCATATACAAAAACTGGCTAAAAGTCAAGGACTGATTTCGGAAAACAAGGTATATTTTTCTTAAATTTTGACAACTATAGTTATTATACAAAAATTGTTATTTAAATCTCTTATTAAGTGTCTAAAGTTTTGTCTAATAGATTTTGTTTAACAATATTATATACTTACCTTTATATATTTATCTCTTTCTCTTCAGGATGCAAGTGATGAAAACTCAAAACTCAATCCAAATATTATAATGCAATTATTTTCACCTATTGTGACATCCCAGCATATTATGGCATCCCAATTTGGAAATTCTTACACTTCGATGAAGTGCCACGATGGTACAAACATGGTATTTGATGAATTTATGGGATATACTTTTATTTACATTTCCTTGGAAGACATTGAACTAATGAAAAGAACATTGGGTGTATGTGTAGCAATTGTAAGGCACGTTTGTGGACCAGATGTTGGAATGTAAGTTTAATACAATATTAAATTATGGAAATTGTTTTTATATAATCATACAGTATTATAACTAAAGCTACTTGATTACAGGTTGAAGGTAAATAGGCAGAAAGTCTGTTTGGTCTCTTCTTTATTAGATGCATGGGTACATTTAAGAAATTGTGAGCAAAGTATGCTTACAGAAGCCATAGAACAATTATCGATAAATACAGACTTGGGTGTATCGATATTAAAAGTGTTACACGATGCTTCTGATAAATTGAAGGCACAATCTGAGTTTTGCAACGTACACATTCTGATTTTGGTGGAACAGAAGTTCCTTTCTTTGTATTCTAGCAAAAACGCTCGTGATTTGTACGCTGCTGATATATTACTAATGATGCTTATGTGTTGGGTAGTGAATCAGAAAAGAAAAGGAAATTATGAAGTTGATACAAATGATAATGATGACCGCACTGATATACTTTTACCTGACAACAGTTCAACCAAGGATGAACAAGTACCTTTTGGAGCGAAGCTTGCAAACCCTACTTCAGAAGATATCACAGACTTATTTAGTATGATTTTTAATAACATCAAATTTTTATTTCTTTAATTGATATTATGCATTCATAAATATTTATTACAGGAGGATCAAGAGAATCTTCCATCAATGAAGGTCTATATTCTCTAATGGATGACGATTTATACAGCCATTTGATTCTTCTCGGATCCGAGCATGATTGTACTGCTAATGCGGTTCACATTTTTGAATTAGCAGATGGAATTAATCTCGTTATGATAATAGAAATGGCTAATCTTGCCACATCATCTGGATTGTACGATAGTTTTCACTATTTAAACATTATAAACGGTTTGCAACTTCAAAGGGACATCGATGAACTGAGACCGGCATTCGAGAATTTTGATTTAGCGATGAAAAAAGCTTTAGACGGGATTAAGAAAAATAGAGCTAATATCAGTAACGATGTCGACATGTGTCAGAGAAGACTCCAATCGAAATGGGAATTCGTTCGCAAAAAATATTTAGATCTTTTAAAATCTAGAGACCCAGAGTCTATTCTTCAAATTGAATCCAATACATCTGGATTTACAGATAATTTAAAGGAACTATATCGATTAACATGTTTCGATAAGAGCTTTTTGAAACAAGGCGTTGACGTGCTCACGACAGTGGGAAAACTCGTTCGTCAGAAATTAAACGATTTCAGCGACTTCCTCAAAGTGAAAGCATTGAAGAACTTTACTCTTGGATCATATCCTTTCGTAATTACTTAACGTTATATTTTTTTTATACTTTAGTTTACTTTGTACAGTGAGTTACATATGAAAATATAACTCCTTAATGCCATATAATCTACGAGAAGTTCCCTAACTATCAACAAATATCTAGAAGAGTTTCCCGGGCTTGTGCATTTCATCTACATTGACAGAACTACCCACAGACTAACTGCTCCGACATTAGACTTCACAAATCCTGAAACTCTGGCTCTCACAACGAAGAAGGTAATTTAAATAAAACTGAGTGAACTTGGACGTGTAGCACCATGACCTAACTAGCAATTATTACATAGATTTGGAACATGGTTAAACAAAGTAGAATGCATTTGGAAGAAGGACACTTATCGGTCATGTGGAAAGATACGACGTTCAATTACGCTTACTTTTTATGGTTCGAGGATGGTTCTGTAAGTGAATAGTTTAAAAACAACGATAATGTATCTAGATATTATTATTATTATTGTGGATGTTTTGTAGGGATCTCCGTTAAAATGCAAGGTTTATTTAAATCACATAATGAAAAACTTTCCAGTACCAGGTATATTTTGTGGAGATTATTATAGGTTTGTATCGTTAACATTTAATATTTGGTTTTCTTTGTTGCAAGTTTCCATGTGCTTTGGTTATCTTTGTAGAAAATTAGCTGAAATCTGTTTCCCTAAACTATCTGCGAACAAAATCAGGATATACGAGCTTTACTGCGTTCATCTCGGGTTGGCAACATCATCGTGCGTTTTGGAACATTCGCGGAGACTCGCAGCCACGATTTGGGAAGTCACAGGTGTTCCGAATAATCCTGCTGACATTCTTTAATAACATTCCCTTAAAAGTATTTGTGTACAGATATAAATCGAAGTTCTGTGCTAATTCGAAATTCAAATTATTTAACAATACAGTTGAAAAAAATTGTGAAATTTGTAATTATTTATAAGTACTTAATGTATGTATTAACTTGATATTTATAAAAGATTATAATGCAAAACATTTGTATTTATTTTATGTGTTAAATACTTAAAGATGTAATGGCACAATTTAACAAAATTTACATCAAAGAATAACATATACTGTATATTTCTCTCCGAGTTAAATGGGAACTTAGTTAAATTAGGAATATAGAGCACTGTAAATATTTAAGAGCATGTTACATACGCATTAAAAACTATTTAGTAGTTCAGTCTGTAATGCCTCTCCACTTTATAATGCACATATTCGTTAATATGAACACGGCACGATAGCATTTTTTTTCATCACATCTCCGTAACATTAAAAAACAGACCCGTCTTTACATGTTTCAGACATGATCGGTTTACTTATATTTTAAAATATACGTGTCTTTATGTATAAATATTTACAATGCGTACAAGCTAGTGTAAGCGCTCTTAAACCTCTTATCGCTTTCTTTTCTTTAGCACAAAGTTGCGCTACAATTTTAAGTATACTGTTATAAAGCTTTTAAAGTAAAATAAAAATAAAGGAATCTCTTTTGTTCAATGATTATCCGTCAAATCTGTTTTACTATTTGCTTTTTTCTTTGTCACCTGACTGTAAGGTATTTGAACATTTTGTACACAATTTGCTTCAGACGATTCTTGCTGGGATACTCGAACATGTGAAGTCCTTTCACTGTTACTTCGCGTAGCAACTGGATCCGAAGTCCTTCTGGCTTTCTTTGATCCGCAAACGTCGTACGACAACTTGCCTCTACCTCGTCCAACTCCGCTCATGTTTATGTTACTTTGCCAGATAGATTCTTCTACTCCTTCTGATTCCATATTGGTGCGTCTAATTTTGTTAGATACATTATCTGTAACGTTCACTTTCAATTCGGAAACGGAGTTTACATGTGGTGATGGTTCTTGACTTGGACTTTCTACTGCATTTGGCCATCTTAATTTGCCGTAATTAATAGTTTTCTCAGCATACGTTACTGTATTTTTTGGTTTGTGGGTAGTATTTGCTTGACTCTGAGGAAAGACATAAATAACATTTAAATATTTTTCAAGGAACATATAAGTTTAAATGATAAATTGTATTTACAGTTGTGGTAGAATGGTTTTTAAATGCCCAATTATCACCGCAGTCGTCTTCTGAAAATTCTTTTCTTAACGGAAACGTTTGCTGTGGTCTCTTCTGTTCGTCGACGGTGCGCTCCGTTTCAGTCTCATGATCTATATTATTTGAATTTCCATTCAATTTTGATTTTTTATTAAATTTGAATTCTTTAACTTGTTTTTCAAGCTCTGCCACTTCCAAATCAGATTTACACAATTCTGGTATTAGTTGATTTAAATACTGTTCAGCTGCTTTCTCTATAGTAATAGCAGATTCCAAGTCAGACGTTCTTGTCAAATCTAAACTGCAAATATCAAATAATACTACTACAAATCAATAATTTAATACAACATAACTATAAATTTGACATAAGAATCAAAACTTACTTTAAAGATTCTATAAGCCTTGTAAACACATCTGGTAAATCGGATGACCTTTTGGTAGGAGGAGGTTTATAATCTGAACCTTCCAGAAGAATTGAATTATTTTCTAAATTATTTATCCTTAAAGGAACTGGTTCAAGTATCCTGTGAAGACAAAAATATTTGAAATTGCGCAACACATTAATAAAATAGGTTATTGACATTAATATAAGTTATTAACACATACTTACCGCTTTACACGTCGTAAAAATACATGTTTAAACTTATGTGTACCTCCTTCGTCGCTTGTTGAAGAACTCAATAAGCATGTAACAAAGAATTTTTCTTTGGTGCAATCACCATTAGAAAAGTGTGTTGCAAATTCATTATGCAATAATCTATCTCTCATAGTCGGTACCAATCCAGTATTTCTCCTGAAGCGAAACCAACCTATCACTTGTTTACTTTTGTCACGTAAAAAATCCTTCACATTTTCTTTATTAATTCTACCGATAGAATCATATAAAAGATCTGGCAATGGGCAAGTTATAACTGTTTCGATATCTAAAAGCGTGAAAATATTATTGCAAAACCAAACCTTTCTTTATCACTGGGAGAAATTACAATTGGATATATTTACTGTTCTGTGTTTTTACTGTTTCAATCTGATTGTCGGCATCCGTGTACGTTTTCACTACAAACTCAAGGGTTTCTCCCAATAAAAATCCCATCTGGAACATTGGAATCAATATTATTCACCGTTTTCCTGTTCTTTGTTCATTAGGTTAAGTTTATAGAGGTTAAGACGCTAAACTTGTAATCTAAAAACAAATTAGAATGCCAAAATAAACAGTAATTTTAAGAATAAATAAGGAAGAGGTAATTCTCTTTACCTGATCTCCGCAATTGCGAACATTTTCATAAAACAACAAAGAGAGCGCGGCGCCCGAAATTGTAACGATAAAATCAGCATTCGCCATGTTGACAATTTACTGTTATCCACTTCGCAACTTCGCTCCAACTTTCTATGAATGTCCTGTCAAACGTTCACGTTTTACCTGTGCATTAACATTAACATTTCACACTGTTTATTTCAATGGTTTAATTATGCAACGTTTACAATACTATGCAATTATTGTAACTATTTAAACGTCGATAAAAATGAATGATTTTGCAATATATACTTTCATTTTTATAAATATTATCAATTTTTTATTACAGACGTAATTATCAGCTAGAGTTATGTTACTCCGTGTGTTCCATCCATAAAAATACGATACTGCAACTGATATCGAAAGTTACCTTTCGATCGAAAGAAAAAAATCCAACTGATCGCAATGAAACATTTGCGAAACTTTTAAAAACTCAGATTACGCGTGTTTCACCTGTTTCCTCGTTACCATCGAATTCTTCCATCAAATAATTGAAAGACGAACTTTTTATTATTTATAAGTTTTTAATTATTACGCAATACAAATTAAAACGCGCGTACATAACTGCATCATGCGAATGGTATTTGTACGAAACCGGAAGTAGCAGAAAAGACTGTTACCAGGAAACGGGGAAATCATTTCAAAAAGAAAAAGGTTCACTAAATTTCTATTAAAATCTTCTAAACTTTACTTCTCTACTTATAATACATTTATTAAAAATTAACATACATTTATTAATAATATAGAGTTAATTAATATTGATAAATAAAAAGTTCGGGCCTACATTAAAAACTTTTGATACGAATTCGTTTTTTTTCTCACAGAAATATTTTACAGGAAGTAAACAAAATCTCACTTATCCTTGTATCATTTTTTTAATAAATATTAAAATCATCGAATGTCCAAAATATATTTGTCAGAAGTGGGATTCGAACCCACGCCCACAGAGTGGACTGCGACCTGAACGCAGCGCCTTAGACCGCTCGGCCATCCTGACATTGCTTGCTAATCAATTTTCTATTAAGAAAGCCTACAATCGACAATTCCTACACGATCTGCGTGATAATGCTCTTAAGTCAATAAGTGAATTGCATGTTTTCTCGCGTTTAAGCGTGACGACGGAATATACGTCTGATGAGCAACGCAAGGGGGAAAGATTCAATATTAATACGCAGGATGAAGTATCAGATAGAAATCAGTATCGATCAATATGCGAGGGTAGCAATTTTTAGATATTTGAAGTTTTGAATCTTTGGATGTTGGAATCTTTCCATTTCACGCTTTCGGAATACCGAATAGGTAACTTTGAGATTTCGGTATTCCCGAATTTTGGAATTTTTAGATTTTGAAATGTTTGAATTTGTAATTTTGGATACTGAGATTTTTGGACTTGGTAACTATAAAAAGAAAGCTCGCGCATCGCATGGGTTAGATATAGGCATATATGGGCAGTGGTAAAAAGGGATAGATTTTTTCGGCGCAGAGAAAGAGGATAAAAAGAAGAAGGTACCGAAATAAGCAATGACCGATCGAGAAAGCGACGAATCCGCGTTGCTCGTGTAACGTCCCCGCTTGGCCGAAAATACACCCGGCTCCGTCGCTAGTACGCGAGTCGTTTGTACGTATTTCTAGCCGCGAAGTAGATTCGATGTAGGGCTCGAGGATCGCGTGATGTAAGATCTTTAGTGATCTCTCGAGAGACGACAAGATCTGTTCGCTGATCGACGCTCCGTGCTTTACCTCGTTTCCTCGAAGGAGTTCTTACCGGGCTCGACGTGAACCGAGTGACCGGACCATGACGGAACAAACTTGGGATTACGTTCACGAGAAATGGGAACACATAGATCAAACGGTAAGTCGCCCATGCTGTTTTCTGCCCTTGACTTTCTCTAGTTGCGTAAGTCGTGGAAAATGTCTCGTTAACCGGTAACTGGAGGACTTAACAGTTGACCCTACAGGTTCGCGGGTTAATTGTTCCTCTTCCGAGAACGTTACGTGATACGAGTCGTTCGTTTTACGCGTATTTGAAGATGTCAGAGATGTGAATTTGGGAATAGGTAGCTTTTCAAAGTTGTTGGTAATTACGGTTAGGCTATTTGATCAAGCATTCGAGTACGTAGAACCTCAACTGCAGAAGCGTAGGTGTTCGACACAAGAATTTCTATAGCTACCTCGGTTAGACACAGCATGCAAGTTCTATGTCCACAAACGACATCCTTTGAGACGTCTGATAAAATGGGTCGTTGCATTCGACTGATATTCGGGACGCGAGAGGCTAATTGTTACGAAACAATATATTTCGCCTCCCTTCTGGCCGCGATGTTCAAACGGGGACATCGAAGCGGACTCGTGAATGTTTCACGTTGGGAAAAGGAGAAAGATGAATGTTTTCATTCATGATTTTCGCGTGACGCAAATGTTAAACACGCACACAACACGCCGGAATATTATAAATACCGAGCTTCGTTTTTAAATTTTCTTATCGGCGCTTAACACGAACCGAGCATTTCGGAAAAGGACTACACGGACTATTTTGGGAAAGCGAGTATATTTGAATGAGCGTCTCAAAATACTTTGACAGTGATGTAACAATGTTAGAACTTTATTATCTTTCCTTCGTTTTATTAAATTCGCTTAACATCTTATTTTCTGGGATGAAATATTTCTGCTTAAGGAATTATGGTCCCACTGTACAAACAAGATAATTATGCACTCGCTCAATTATCGGTGTTAATTGCTTTCGAAGTGGACGAAACACGATATTTATTATCTAAATCCAGCACGCAGGAAATCAACATGGAAGCTTTGCTGTTACTGGCGTTATTAATAATTCCTACGATTATGACCTAATTTGGAACAAATTACCCGACGCCGAAGTATCCTAACTTCAACTGTGCACCGATCTAACCTTATACCAACCTCATGCGGAGGTTAACCTAACTCCTCTAACGCACATGTTCTTTTAGCTTATATGTACTTAGAAAAGCAGTACTAATGAGCTTTTAGATTATATTTTGAGGACAGTTTACAATATTATGAAAGAACTTAAGAGATTCTCTAAGTCGGTAGAACCAGAATGTTCAAAATTGACCCTTTCATTGCTAAAATAGCAATAGAATAAATAAATTATAGAATAAAAGTAGAAACGATTGGCACTGCGCAAATAAAGCTGTCATGACCTTAATGGTCGACGATACGGTGATCGTAACGGAGTTCATTGAGAGACCATGAGGAAGATGCGGGTCAGTAAGCCGAGATGAAATTGGCGGACTGCCGCGCTTGCTCTTCTCCGCCACGGTGGCCGAAAATCGCATTCTTAATGATTGCACTAGCGTGTCACATGCGAGGTTGCATCCGAGCCTTCGAAATCGATCAGCTGCCTCGTCTCGTTTGCGTGCGACCACGTCAAACACTCTCGTTTTTCGTCACTTTCCTCCGCTTCGAAAGGTCAACAGCTCGTTATAAGATGAATCGATTCGTCCCGATTTAATTCACGCTTCAACTTTATTCGACGCATTTTCGTTCGCAATTCTATTTCTTTCGTTTCTCCTTCCGTCAACTTAGAAAGAGAGTTAGACTTCTGTTCCTCTTTTGAAGAGTTGGACTCTTCTCGGCACAGCTCACACTCGGTATATGTAACGTTAGAACAAATTCTAACATCTTATTAATCCTTTGCACTCGAAGGGACTTTTGCAAGATATATTTCATTTAAAAATTCAGCTGAATTCTTTTAAGATTATTACTTCCGCAGTTGCCAGTCTGGTCTATGTTCCATCATATATTTTGTTAAAAAATATCTCAAACTGAATGAGAGTCACTCGAATGCATTCACTGTAGATTACGAACAAATTCCTCGAAGATCATTCCTATAAAAGAAAGTATAAACGTTCTTGCAAAGCAATCTAAAAATTGTTTACAGTACAAGAATTCCTTCCTACCAAATTCGAGTCGTAATTCCAAACCCATCGAAATTCGTTCGGGCTCGATATCGATCGCATGTTCAAGGTGATTTGTTGAATTTGGTGGAGGGACGATGCGCCTTGACCGTGGAATTGTTGCTCAGGCGCATTCGATTGTCGACGCGTCCGAGAAAACTCGCTATCACACGATAGCAATACGTATCAACGTTTTTACGTATAGCACACGATTTTGAAACGTTTCGACGTGCGATACATGTGTGCGAGAAAGATTGATTGCACCGTTAATCGCGAGTTTGAGCACGTTGCGACGCAAGGATCAACAGGATACGATCAGAAAGATGAAAACGAAAAACAGGTCGCTGTTCAGTAGGATGTGCAAGTGCTACGGAAAGAAGTCCTCTCGATCGAGAGTGCTACAGGTCGAGGATGATTCTGCGTCAGCCACTGTGTCCGCTCAGGTAATCTTTTCGTTCTAGCAACGATCGAGGACATCTTTTATCGTCGTTCGAAACTATTTTCTGTTTTTGCGTTCGACATGCAGTTTTCTTTTGAATGGGAAAGTTGCGTACTCGTCAACGAATATAGACTTCGTTGGGCGACCTTAATGAACCATTGTTGCGCGTGCAACAATGTAACATCGTAGTTTAGGATTTGTTCAACGATGCACTGAAAGTTACGAATCGTGCCAACACGTCGCGCGAAGAAGTGCGGTGAACCTTGAAACTTTAATACACATGTCGACTACTTTATTTAAACAAATTCAATCTGGCAGAATGTTGCTGCGCGATTCTATATCGAAAACTGGATCGATATTACTAATTAGATCGTTGGGTAACCTGTTATTTAAAAAGTCCGAAAATATTTAAATACTATACTTCTAAATTGGGAATCGGACTTGAAAATTGAATCGACACAAATCACCTTGATTTTTCAATATTATCGATTTCGATATTATCGACTCTAAATAATTTTCGTATCGTACTTCAGAGTTTTCGAAAACGTCAAACACCTCGGGAAACAACGCTCCGGTGAAAACATGGAGCACAATTACGCTCCAGGGGAGAATCTGGTAAATCGCGAAGCGACACGACCGAGATCGAGAAAATGTTAATTTTGCTGTGAACTTTTCAGCCGCTCACGCTAGTCGTTCGCAGGCCATGTTGCAAGAAAAATAACGAGGACGAGATGTGTGTGCCAATCGTCCCTAAAAAGGCAATTAAGTAATTTGAATTTTATATGGCAGCTTCTTGCTTTGTATCGAACGTTCGCTAACTCTTCTCACATTACTGCTCTTGTAATTATTAGTGTCAGGTATTTTTTTATTTAACAATTTCACTTTTATTGTGGATCATCGCTATTAAAAAACGCTTCAAGTTTAAATGAATTAGTGTTAGTCCAAAAAATTTGATAAAAAAATGGATATTCCATCGTTCATTTACCACATTGTAAATGGAATATTCAATCAACTTCACGGGAATATCTGAACGTCTTCTTTATTTGTTTTTCTGTACAAATTTCAAGCAGTGACAATTATCATTTCTTGAAATGGATTCCACGGACGAAAATTCTTCGTGTTTATCGGGGGAGGAATCCGAGGAAGAGTTGACGCACGATCCGCAAGTAAATCCACTCGTAAAACTGTCAGCAGTGAAACTAGTTCTTACATGTAGCATTTACAAGCTATC